CCCAGGATTGAACTCAGGGGCACTTAACCACCAAGCCATATCCCCAGCCTTTTTTTTATTTAGAGACACTGTCTCAGTTGCTTAGGGCCTTGCTAAGTTGCCGAGGCTGGCTTTGAATTCACGATCCCACACTCCTGGGATTATAGGTGTGCACCTCCACGCCTGGCCTGGCTAATATATATATATATATATATTTTTAAGTTGGACATAATACGTTTATTTTTTAATTTATTTTCACGTGGTGCTGAGGACCCAACCCAGTGCCTCACATGTGTGAGGCAAGTGCTCTGCCACTGAGCCAAACCTCAGCTTGAAACTGATTTTTGTGGTGATGGTTGCACAATTCCATGAATATACTAAAAACCACGATGTGTAATGCTGTAGTAGCCAGCCCCAGAGCTCTCCCAATAATAAAAGAAACAGGGAGAAGATTGAGGATCGAAATTTATGCAAGCCTTGTTATTTTTTTCCCCCTCTTTGGTTTGTATTGACAGGAGACAGAGGAGAATAAGACGAAAGGATTTGATTACTTACTCAAGGCAGCTGAAGCTGGTGACAGACAGTCCATGATCCTGGTGGCACGAGCTTTTGACACCGGTCTGAACCTCAGCCCAGACAGGTAACTGTGGCTGTCACTCAGGTGGAATCCACAGGGATCTGGATTGGGTGGGCACTTTCTCTTTAATATCAGGACAGACGTGGGCTCTGGTCTTGGTTTCACCCATTACCAGACCAGTGACCCTGAGTGAGTKCTTTTACATTCATCTTGTGAAGCAGGCACAATCACAACACCTGCTTCTGAGGATTGTCGTATGAAGGTTACATGACATGGTGACAGTAACTCTCACAGCACYGGGTACATGAGGCATGCAGTGATTGTATAAGATACAATGGGGTCACGGTCTTAAATGCCATCTCCACCAGCCGCCGCTTGCTTAGCCATTTTAGCTAGTATAATAAAGATTTTCATGAGAAAAAAATCAGTATCAGGCTCAGAGGATTGTCCCTGGATAGCAGGATTTGGGTGATTTTAATTGACTTTTCCTRCTTTTATTTTTATTTTATTATTTTTCACTTCTAAGAAGAAGGAGTAGGTTTAAAGACTCCGGCAACTAAAGTATCAGTACTTTTCATTTATTCTCCAGGCTGAGATGCCAGGTCTGGTTTTTGCAATGGGAGGAGAACAGGGTGGCCCACCTTCATCTCGGCTCTGTGGCTTAGCCAGTGGGAGATCCTGGAAGTCCAGGGCAGAAGTCAGTTGCTCACCCTAGGTGGTTCCCATTGGAACCTGGCTACCCAGGAGCCTTCAAGGACTCTTTGGAAGGGAGCAAGGAGGGTGCATTCATTGTGTAAATCTCCAAGGTGAAGCAGCTGAGCAGGTCCCTCCTCTTGGTCTCAGGAGCTCCTCTCTCTCACTGGGTTTAGAACAAAAGTCTGGTGGGACTCTCATCTTAAGGAGGTTTCAGGGTCAAAAATTTCTGAATGCATTCAGAAGCCTGCCCGTGTGCCAACATTTTTCAGATACCTGCTGTGTAACAGCAGTGCTCCCCTATATTTAGACAGCATTTTTGTGYTATGATTTGATTTCATTGAGAACAGGAATCGGTTATCCGACAACTCTGTGTCTTACATCTTCCACATCTTAGCATCTTAGCTCAGTGGTTGAATGAACAAACCACCTCATCTCAGTGACACAGACAAGGCAGGTATTTGGGGCCCCATTTTGTGGATAACTAAAAACTATAGTTCTGAGAAGTGAAGGAACTTGAAATGCTTGGGATCAGAAGTGTTTTGGATTTGGGGTTTTCTCAGATTTTGGACCATATGCATATGCATAATGAGATATCTTGGGGACAGATCCCAAATCTAAATGCAAAATTCATGTATATACCATAGACGCATAGCCTGAAGGTAATTTTATCCAATATTTTTAGTGTATCTGCAAAATGATTCACGTTTGCATCATGATTATAATCAAAAAGTATCAGATTTTGGTGTTCTTAGATTTTGGAGTTTTGGATGAGGGATGCTCAACCTGTACCTAATAAGTGGCAGAGCCAAAGTTTTGGTCTTTCCACCTTTCCTTCATTGTATTCCCTATTGACTGGCTTTTTAGCGAACTTAGAACTATACTGACATGGACAGGTGCTAAACAAAAAAGTCCTAACACGGTTCTATTAGATCAAGTACCCATGCATATGGTACCCTTTGAGTGCCGTGGAGAAGTATAGCATGGGTAGAAGAAGTTGGAGATGGGCATTGAATATTTATATCTTTGGTTCTTAAAAAGTCTTTGCTATTTGTGCTTTCTTTTTCTGTCCTTTGTCAATTTTGATTTTTACTTCCTTTTTAAAAATTTATATTTATTTCTACTTTACTCCAGATGATAGTTTCTTATTGATTTGTAACAATTCTTTATATATTAAGGCTGTTAACCCATTCTCTTTAAAAGAAGTTGTGTTTTTTTTGTTGTTGTTGTTGTTTTGTTTTTCCTGTTTCCAGAGATGGCCAACATAGATTGGGGAGGAGGAAACATATACCACATAATGACCATTGCTTACTGGGTTTGGGGACATGTTGGTTTTTAATATTTATGTAATTAAATCTATGAGAATTTTCTTTTTTTTTTTAATAGCTTCTACTATAGTCATTTTCTTTTTCTTCTTCCTCATTCCAAGCAGCTCCAGCCTTTTGCATTCAGGGAGCATTAATTAAGGGCCAGCTATGGGTAAGGTAGGGCCCCATGAAGGCCCAAATTTATATTTAAGGGATTTTGGTTCTCTCAGAAGTTACATCTAATAGGGGAATGAAAAATCATGGAAAATTCCAAGACAGGGTGGGCACCCTGACCACTGGGACAGCATGGGGCAGGGGTGGGCAGGGAGAGAGAAGATCCTTTCCCATGTAATGTTTGCAGGGCAACTGTGCTCTGCCCTTTAGGACTGGGGACCATCAAAGCTGAAGGGGTGATGTCATCTAATCTAGGGGCCCCTATTCCAAGAATACAACCCTAGGTTTTTGGGTACCTTGCTATTTTCAAATAATTTCCTTTTTTTTTATATATATATAAGATACAATGGGGTCACGGTCTTAAATGCCATCTCCACCAGCCGCCGCTTGCTTACCTTTTTCATCCAGCAGAAATGTGTTGAGGAATATAGCAGGCCCTGGGAATATAGCAGTTAACATAAAAGACAAGACTCTGACCTTCTTGGGGTATTTGTTCTGGTCAGGGATGACCCTAATGTGTGAGGGAACAAGGAGAATTAGAGTGTGATAATTGTAAGAAACAAGGTGTTTAGAGACAGCATCTCTGGGGAGGTGACATGAACTGAGGCTGGAGGGGTGAAGAACTAGGTGTGGAACTCAGACTAGAGGGGTGGGAATTTAGGCTGGGCGTGGAGGTGCACGCCTGTAATCCTAGCAGCTTTGGAGGCTGAGGCAGGAAGATCGCAAGTTCAAAAATCAGCCTCAGCAATGAAGTGAGGTCCTAAGCAACTTAACGAGACCCTTTCTCTAAATAAAAAATATTTTAAAAGGGCTGGGGATATGGCTCAGTGGTTAAGCATCTCTGGGTTCAATTCCTGGTACCCAAGAAAAAAAGACCAGGGTACAGGCAGGTGCTGGCATGTTTGGGGAGTAGCCCCTGGCACCAACAGGAGCTGAGACTGGAGGGTGAGGCAAGAGGCAAACATATCATTAGAGCTGCTGCTCCTGGCACATTCAGGACACCCAGAGTCTTTCTTATCAGTGACGCTGTTTGCTCTTTCCTGATGTGCTATAAATAGTTCCTCACAAGGGTTCCACGCAAAGAAAAACAGCCTGCTGCCCTGTTAGCTCTGTATTTTGTAGTTGCATGACTTTGGCTGAAACCTATGGTCACCCTTGGTGGTTTGGCCGGATGCATGCTGCCATAGGAGAAAGAGCTGGGGAGCGGAGGGGCTTAGCTGGGGTGGGGAGAGGAGTCCTGCATTATTCTGGAAGAGAGCCCGACTGGCCAGCACAGGCAGAATAGGCAGGGGCTGAGCGATTGCTGTTAGGTGGTTCTGGGGGTTTCTGCCAAGGGTCCTTCTCCTACCAGAGTCAGAGGGCAGCTTGTGCCAGCCCATAGGGTGCTTGTGGGCGATCCTAGAAAAATGTCCCCCTCCCCAATATGCTCGACTTCTGTTACAGAATGGTTGTAATACACCCATGTTATTAAGAAAAGCTACATGACTGCCCTCTTAATAGATAAATAAACCTACAGCTTCACAGTGCCCCTCGGATGTGGTGGTCTTGGACACTGTAGGTTGGGAACCAGAGGTGGTCGTCCCTGCTGTATCCCTGACTTGGATCAGGGGTGGTTGGCCCTCTGCCTTCCCCCCCTGCTGCTGTGATGATGTCCCTCTTTCTCTGTGTCCCCTGGCAAGGTGCCGAGACTGGCCCGAGGCCCTGCACTGGTACAACACTGCCCTGGAGACCACGGACTGTGACGAGGGCGGTGAGTTCGATGGGATGCAGGACGAGCCCCGCTATGCGCTGCTGGCCAGGGAGGCTGAGATGCTGTTGACCGGAGGCTGCGGGCTGGAGAAGGACCCGCAGAGATCAGGTAGGGCCTCCGCAGACCTGCCCCTGGGGCGGGACAGGGCTGGGCAGGGACCGTTGTAATTCTCATCCCCACTGGGAGGGGCCCAGGGTGAGTCTCTTTTCAGGAGGGGGTTTTATGGAGCTAACACGCAGATGGACATTTTTATTTAATGCTTATACAGTCAGCCTTGGGTAGCTGTTGGTTCTTCATCCATGGATTCAAGCAACCACAGATCAAAGAATATTTTAGTGGTGCTGGGGACATAGTTCATGGTGGAGCACTTGCCTGGCATGCATGGGGCCCTGGATTCCGTCCATGGCCTCTGTGCTGAATGCATACAGACTTTTCCCCTTACAATACAGTACGACAAGGCTGGAGTTCTAGCTCAGTGGTAGAGAGAGTGCTTGCCTACCATGTATTTCATGAGACACTAGGTTCGATCCTCAGCATCACAGGAAGATAAATAAATAAAATAAAGGTATTGTGTCCATCTATAACTAAAAATATTTTTAAAAAAGAAATAAAATATCATGCTTCCTTTACAAAAGCGATATAGGAATTGAAATGCATTCTGCTGTCGTGTACAACTAAATAGAACAATTTAAAAAAAAATAAATATAGGGCTGGGGTTGTGGCTCAACCGTAGAGCACTTGCCTCTCACGTGTGAAACCCTGGGTTCGATCCTCAGGACCACATAAAAATAAATACGTGGAATAAAGGTATTGTGTCCAACCACAACTAAAAAATAAATACTTAAAAAAAAAATATATATATATATATATATATATATATATATATATATATATTAGAGTCTTAGGGGGAGTTCTTTGCAATTTTGAAAACTGAACTAAAATTTTCACAACCTGAAATTTACCATCTTAAAATGTAGTTCAGTGGATTTTAGTATTTTCACAATGTTGGTCACCCATCGCCATTAACTAATTCCAGAACATTTCCATCACCCCAAGAAGAAACCCTGTACTAGTTAGCAGTCATTCCCAACCTGCCTCCTCCCCCATTCCTGGGGACCAAGGATCAACTTTTGGTCTATATGGATGGGCCTGCTCTGGGCTCCTTCTGTAAGTGACTCATGAAATACATGGCCTTTTGTGTCAGGCTTCTTTCACTTAGAACATTGGCCTTAAGGTTCATGCATGTTATAGCAGGTACCAGTGCCTCATTCATTTTTATTGCCAAATAATAAGCCATTGTAGGAGATGCCCCATTTTGTTTTTGAGTCATCAATTGATAGATAAGTTATATGTTTTTTTTTTCCGTTACATAATATATTAATCTGCTGAAGCTGCCCTGTAGATTGAATGGCTTAAGTAACAACAGTGTATTTATTTATTTATCTGTTTATTTATTTGTTTGGTGCTAGAGATCAAACCCAGGGCCTTATGCATGCTAGGCAAGTTCCTCATTACGGGGCAGTCTCCTAAATTGATTTCTCAAGGCCAAGAAGTCCAAGATCAAGATGCTGTCCTATTTCTGGCTTCTAGACAATCATCTTCTCACCATGTACTAACATGTCTTTTCTTCTGTATGCAAGGAGAGGGGCGAGGGTAGAGAGACACATTCCTTTTTATTGCCAAATAATATGCCTTTCCAGACTAGATTCAAATCTCAGGCCCTACTGTCTTTTCCTCCTCTGAGAAGGGTCCCAGGGCCCCACCCTTGTGACCTCACTTAACCTTTATCACAGCCTCACAGGCCCTGTGTCCACCTACAGTCACTTTGTGGATTAGGGCTTTAACAGATAAAACCTGTGGGTGAGAATCCAGGAAGAGGGTGTTGGTGACACCAATATCCAATTCCTTTACCTAAAACAAACTTACCAAACTCCTGATTTCACAGGTATGGGATGAGACTAAATTTTCAAAGTTGTATAAGAATTCGACAAATAATAAAGCAGATCTCTCGTTTCTGATTTGAAATTTCTAAATCCCCAAAGCTCTAAAATTCCGAAGTGCTTGCGTTGAATTTTATGCAAATCATTTGACAGCAAATCTTGGGCCAACCTGAGATGAAGTTATTTCGACTGTTTCTTTCACTTACAAAGATTCTCAATTTATTCTGCAAATATCCTCAGCCTGATTGAATCTCCCACCCACCTGCAAATCACTGTGGACCCCAAGGCTTATTCTGATTAGCTCTGCCTAAGTCTAGACCAACGCCTGGGGCCTGCAGGGAATGGCCGGGTTTGATCACATGGCCACCCTGCGACAGAGCATCCTGAACATCTATCTGGAAGGAGAGGATGTCAGGGGTAGTTTGGTTCCTGTAAAAACAAAGACAAGACAAAACCAAACCTCAGGGTACTCTTGTGGGAGAGGTGGGGGATACTGGCCTGGCACGCACGGTTCACCTCTTTGTACCTTTCCTTGCTCTCTTTCAGGGGACTTGTACACCCAGGCAGCTGAGGCAGCTATGGAAGCCATGAAGGGCCGTCTAGCCAACCAGTACTATCAGCTGGCAGAGGAGGCCTGGGCCCAGATGGAAGGATAACTTGCCAGAACAATTGCTGCCAGCTAGTCCCAAGCAAAAGGGCTAAGGGGTTGGGATGGGGTGGGGGTGGGGTGGGGAGACTTATTTAGTTTGAGAAGGAAAAGGTATTTTTCATGTGCTGTAAATTGACTTTTGTATTTTATTTTATTTTATTTTTTTGACTCTTGAAAAAAAGGTCTTTGCTACTAGCAGAGACCCTACAGCTGTCCCTTAGGACAGTGTTTTCGGGGAATGGGGATTGAAAAAAATGCAGCCTAATGAACCATCCTACTGTTATTGAGATTCTCCTTTTATTTTTTACTTCTTGCTTTCTTATCTTGAGACGCGTCATGCTTTCCCACCATGGACAATATGAGGCCCTTGCTCACCAGCCTTTCCAGGCTAGATTCAAATCTCAGGCCCTCAGAACCCCGTTTCAAGAATGGGGATGGGAAGTGAAGAGCTAACTTCCCAGGGGTGTGTTTTGTCCTGACTTAGTGCACAGCCGTCTTTCTCCGAGCATTTGGGAGCATGCATGGTGTTTTTTGAGTGCACATGCAGCCTCCCTTCTATCCTGGGGCAGGGGCCTGCACATTGATTAATTTCTAACTTCATAGTTTCGTTTCCTCCTGCCCTGAGACTGATTTTTCTGGAATTCCAGCCAAATTCCGTTTTTGAAGCATGCTTTCTTCCTATGGGCTTTACAAAACAGGTTTAATTTTTTTTTTTTTTGTATGTACACATTTACTACCTCTAACTTGTACATGAATACTTGGTGTGGAACAGGATGCATCTTAAAGCTTTAATGTATGAGGACAGCAGCTTGGAATATGGGGGACTTTGCTCCAAGCAGAATATACCCTGCTTCCTAGTGGCAACATCCACACAGTGACTAAGTGTCCCTGGTGCAGTATCCCTCAGCATTTTCTTGCGTGAAGCTATTCTTTTATAGAATCTGCTCCCCAGCCCCCACTCTTGGCATTTTCTGCTCCAAGCTGGGCTGATTTTCTTGTGATTTGCAGCTTGGCTGCTTTCAACAGCAGCCCCTTGAGATTTACTAAAGATGTTTGAGGATGAGAGGGCAAGAACTATAAACACTCATTAGTTCTAGAAGTTTCCCCAGGGTCAAGCTACAATATCTTTATTTAATGAGCTTTCTCCTTACAAGGAGTTCCTATTTAATGCTAGTGTGATTTCACTTGTTGTTTCAAATAGCCAAGAAACTAGACAATTCGATCAACCACAAATGCTAGAGCAGCCTCTTTCTCGAACAATCAAAGGATGCAAAGCCAAGTGTAACACACAAGCCACTCTTACTTGTTTGTAAGATACTCCCTCGGCACTTCAGTTTGGAGCACTGTGGAGTCATGAACTTGTGCAAACATTCGATTCTAAAGTGGGGTGTGCCCTTCAAGGAAAAATTAAGTCAGCATTACCTGTGAAAATTCCCCGAGTCCACCCAGAAATGACAGTATCCCCAGTTTTTGCACATGGACTCATAACAGTTTTCCTTTGGAAGTTGGTACTGATCACTCTTCTTTCATCTATACCAGATCGGTGGTTAGCTTGCTTTAAATTTTATGTGTGTTTTAAACCAGTACCTATAGTTAAATCRCACATATTAAATGTAAGAAGCAACTTTATTGCCACATATTCCTTCAAAGTAATCAAGCCTCGTGCTTTTTTGTTGGTGGTGCCCTTGTTAATTCAGACAGCTTCCTCCTTCTCTGAGATTTTTTTTGAGGGGGGCGTGGAGGTATTGGGGATTGAGCCCAGGGGCACTCAACCACTGAACTACATTCCCAGCCCTATTTTGTATTTTATTTAGAGACAGGGTCTCACTGAGTTGCTTAGCACCTCGCTGTTGCTGAGGCTGGCTTTGAACTCGAGATCCTCCTGCCTCAGCCTCCCAAGTTGCTGGGATTACAGGCGTGCACCACCCTGCCTGGCTTCTCTAAGATTTTATTAGACAAATAATTTGTCTTTTTGCCCCTTGTATCTAATTCTCTATCAAGATGAAAGGGCCAGATAGACCACATGGCCTTTTTTTGCAGCTACTCAACCCTGCTATCAAATTGCAAAACCAGCAAGAGACAAGATGTAGACAAAAGAATATGGTTAGTGTTCCAAAAAAACTTTATTTATAAAAACAGGTGGCCCTCTTGGCCTGTAGTTTGTTAACCCTTGACTGAAAGCTATTTCATTAAGCTGCAAGAACAGAGGTRTATCAACTTTGTGGCCTCCGGGACTTTTTTTTTTTTTTTTTGGTACTGAGGATTGAACCCAGGGGCTTTTAACCACTGAGCCACATCCCCAACCTCCACCCACTTTTTTAAAATTTAGAGACAGGGTCTTGCTGAGTTGCTTAGGCTGGCTTTGAACTCGAGATCCTCCTGCCTCAGCCTCCCAAACCGCTGAGATAACAGGTGTGCACCACTGTGCCTGGCCTCCAGGGCTTTCTTTTAAGCATAGCACCTTGGCAGAGTTGGTTACCAAGTAAGTGCGTGAATGAAGGGAGGGCCAGCTCCAGTCATGGAGCTCACTCTGTTGGGGCTCTGCTTCCTTCAACCAATTAATGATTCCTTGTTTGGATTTGCTTTAACCATCATGCCTACAATTCCACTYCCCACCCACCCACATGGCCTTACTGTCAGGAAGTGATCTCTTTCTCCTTCAGGAGGCTAGGGTGGTCTGCATGCAAGCTTAAGGACCTTTGAGAATGAAAAGGGAACTTGCAAGATGTTGAGATCCTTCTGAGCCACCAGAAGCATTTATTCCACCTTTAAAACCTAGGTCTGGGGCTGGGGATATAACAGTTGGTAGAGTGCTTGCTTCAAATGCACAAGGCCCTGGGTTCAATCCCCAGCACCACAAAATAAACAAACACACACAAACCCTAGGTCTGTGTCATCTGAAGCTGGTTAAGGCATCTCCCCCTGCAGCAAACCCAAGACAGTCCAGCTCAACTAGGAAGACAGCAGAGACTGTCTTCAAATTCAAGAGGCAGGTGGAAATCCAGATTAGCACAGTTAGGATTAGCATCTGTCACCTTCATTTCACAGACAGAGAAACCACAGGTTCACGTAGATTCTGTCACAGGATACTGCTAGCTAGAGAGACTAAGCTGGAGCTAGGAGTTGAGAGAGGCTGTTATTCAGAGGATCCTGGAGATATAATTTAAACTGGAATTCAATGGCCCATTCAGGTTTTTGGTGTTTTTGTTTTTTGCCAAGGGATCGAACCCAGGGGCACTTAACCACTGAGCCACCTCCCCAGCCCTTCTTTGGATTTTATTTAAAGACAGGGTCTTGCTGAGTTGCTTAGGGCCTTGCTAAAGTGCTGGGGCTAGTTTTGAACCCATAATCCTCCTGCCTCAGCCTCCCCAGCCACTGGGATTATAGGCATGTGCCACCGCACTCAGCTTAGTTCTGCTAGAGGTAAAAGAGAAATAAACACGTGAGGGCAAGCTTTATGGGTATAAGAAGAGAAAAATCCTCTCAGACCCAAGCCCTTTGGAATATCACTGCTCCCCCTCTCACTGAGGCATTCTGGGAATTTATCTTCAATACAACCTTCCAGGTATATCACCCTTCTTGCTATTTTGATGATTTTATTACCTTCCATCCCAGCTCACTTGCATGCACATGTTTTACAAGTCAACAAATGTTTACATGAGTATCTGCAGCTTGGTGGTGGGGGAGACACACTGTGTATTCTCTGTGGATCTGGGCCTCTTCCTTGCGTTTCCAGTCTCAGAGGTAACCATTTCAACTCCTCAAGGTAGACTCTGGGTGGGACCCGGAGAAGTGGCTCTCTGTGCAGATTTATTTTTGCATATGTACTAAGTTGCACTTTGTCTTTCCAAATAAAATGGTTTCTTTCTTTCTTGTCTCCCATTCAAATGTCTCCTGGTAAAAAAACATGTGAAGGAACTGGTTGGAGGCTGAAGTAGAATGGAGGGCTATGCCCCCTTGGAAAAGGGCAGCCATGATTCATTCACCTCTGAAAGCCACGGAAAGTGGGCCTATTTCCAGTTTTTCAAGAGCTACTGAAAATTGGGATTTTTTTTTTTTAATGGAAGGCCTCCTGATTTTTGACATTTGTAATAAATCCAAACAATAACAATAATAAAGCCTTCCAGATTCGGCCCCTGTACTGTGAGTTTGCTTTAGATAAAATATGGGAACCTCCCTTTCTTCTCCTCCTCCTCCTTCCCCCCCTTTCCCCTCCCCTTCCCTCCTTCCCTTCCCCCTTCCTTTTGTTTTTGCAGTACTGAGAATGGGATCCAGGACTTTTTGCTTGCTGGGCAAATACTTTACCACTGAGCTACATCCTCAGCCAATTATTTATTAACTATATATATTTTTTATTTATGTTTTGAGACCAGGTCTTACTAAGAAGCCTACCCTGGCCTCAAATTTGTGATAATCCTGCCTCAGCCTCTCAAGTTGCTGGGAATTATAGGTTTGCACCACCAAGCCCAGTGAACTTTTCTTTTTTTTTAAGGTGTTTGTTTGTCTATGGTATTGAGGATGGAATCCAGGGGCCCATCCCCAGCTCTTCTTATTTTTTGAGACAGGGTCTTACTAAGTTGCCCAGTATGTCCTCAAACTGGCAATCCTCCTGCCCCAGACTCCCGAGTTGCTAGGATTACAGGCATGTGTCTCCACACCCCAACTTCATGAATATTCTTAGCTAATAATGCAGTTTTAAAATTCGCACAATAAAAGAGCTCTTGGGAAAACTAAAACTGGGTACTTCAAATGTTTATGAAAAAATAATTTAGGATTGAGTTATAATTCTTTACATTCAATATAGACTAAATTATCAATTTGGTATTGATTAAATGTAAAGACAAGTAACTTGACCCTCTCCATAATGCACATCATTTAGCATATTACTATGAGCAAATGCTTTTACTCTAATACAGTGACAGTTGCAAAAAGATCTGGCTTCTTCTCTTCTACCTTGACATACTGACCAGTATTTCAGATTGCCAAAAGGACTCAGTCTGTTAGGCTGGGTGCAGTGGTGCACGCCTGTAATCTCAGCAGCTCAGGAGACTGAGCCAGGAGGATCGTGAGTTCAAAGCCAGTCTCAGCAAGAGTGAGGTGCTAAGCAACTCAGTGAGACCCTGTCTCTAAATAAAATACAAATGGGGCTGGGGATGTGGCTCAGTGGTTGAGTGCTTCTGAGTTCAATCCCTGGTACCCGCCCCCCAAATAAGTCTGTTAGGACTGGGTTTTTTTTTTTTTTCCTCTTATGAGCTATTCAAGGTATCCAATAATGTTTCTTCTTACACAAAGGTTGAGCATCCCCAATCTGAAATCCACAATGTTCCAAAATTCAAACTTTGAGCACTAACAGGATTCCAAAGCAGAAAATTCCATACTTTTAAAATTCCATTTTTTCATGCACAGATTTAAAAATGTACAAAATCACCTTCAGGTGATGTGTATAAGGTATATATGAAACCTAAGTGGATTCCATGCTTAAACTTGGATCCCATCCTTAAGATATCTTATTACATATATGCAAATATCTCAAAATCTGAAACACTTCTCGTTCCAATCAGGGAAATATTCAACCTGTATTGGAGCAGAAAATAAAGAAATAGGGAAGTGGATGTCAAGAAGGCAAAACAGAAACAGACCCCCCCACACACAGAATTTTCCCTTTAGGGAGGAACCAGAGAAGGGTCCTAGATACTAGACAGAATATAGGTGTGGGCCTAGTGGCACATATCTGTAACTCTAGTGACTATGGAGGCTGAGAAGGAAGGATTTACAAGTTCAAGGCTAGCCTCTGCATCTTGGCAAATAAAAAGGGCCCTTGGGTTCAATCCTCAATATCAATAAATAAAGTGTTATGAAAACTTTTCAGAGAGTGTTATTGCAAGTATGTGTCAAAATGTTATTACAGCTMGGTGGATTGGTGTGCTCTTGTAATCCCAGTGGCTTGGGAGGCTAAGGCAGGAAGATTGCAAGTTCAAAGTCAGCCTCAGGAAAAGTGAGGTTCTAAGCGACTCAGTGAGACCCTGTCTCTAAATAACATGCAAAATGGTGCTGGGGATGTGGCTCAGTGGTTGAGTGCCCCGGAGTTCAATCCCTGGTACCCTCCACCACCCCAAAATGTTATTACAAACTTGCTGCAAATGAAACTATAGGAGGCTAATTCAGAGATGCAGACTTGGTTGAAACATTTTCAGAAAATTTACTTTTTTATTACACCATCACATTCATGGATTAAACTGCAAAATCTCAAGTATGTAGTTGGATGAATTTTTACACATGTAGACATCTGTGTATCAATAACCCAGATCAAAATATAGAACATTTGCAGACCACAGAAAGCCCTGATGGGCCCCTTCCCAGGCAATATGCTCCTATCCCACCTGGGACAAAGGTGACCACTCTTCTGACCTCCTATCTTGGTAGAGAGATTTTAGAGGACAAGAGAATGATTAAATAATCATTGCTCGACAAGATTGGAAAGAAAACAATGTTCTGTTAAAGGTCACCATGCTCTTGACTGAAAAATGACAGTCAGTTGGGTGAGTAGAAAACTAGTCTCCAAGTGCAAATGTCCATGCTATTAAATTTTATTAGAAAAATTCTTTGGTGGGGGCACTGGGAGTCAAATTCGGGGCCTCACATGCCAAGCAAGCGCTATACCACTGAGCTGTATCTCTAGCGCCCATTAGAACCATTCTTGAAACATTTTTTCAGAAATGCCAACTTCTTTCCCTTTGGAGGTCCATGTAGAAAGATTTGGTCACAGACAATCGTTGGGATAATTCTCTTTTGGGGGCGGGTAAGGAGTTAAGAATGGAAGAGATCCAGGACTGAGCCACCACACCCATTCCCAGTGCCCACCACTTAGGACTTATGAAATGGAGACTGACAGCCTTCACCTGCCTGTCCCTAGATTGGGGGTGGAGGGCAAGTGGACAGTGTTTGATCTTCTTGCAACCCCCCACCACCTGCATTAACCAGGGCAGGGAAGTAGACACACGGGCAGAAAATCAAGGTTTCAGTCCTTCCCTCTGTCCCCCTGCATACTGCTGCCCAGACCCTGTGGGTCCCAGGTTCCAATACAACATTCTCCTCCTGCACATTAGTTTCACATCTGATTGTCACAAGACCACTGTGTAATGGGGCTGCAGGACTGTAAGAAGCTCTTCAAAGGCGGCCCTTGTTTCCTGTCTTCCAGGACCTCCAGCCTGCATCCCTGCAGGGCCCCTGTTAATTAAGCCTCCTGCTTAGTACCTGTGGGTAGAAACAGACCTGATTTGCTCCAGAAGGTTCTGGCTTCATTTGAGCCCTTATCACCCAAGGGGCAGGTTATTAGTTACAACTGACAGTCAACAGAAAGGGAAACTTGATAAAGGGATGACTCCAATAGTGGGCATCCCGCTGGGCCAGGGACAGCATCTTGAACTGGGAGCCTCTCTAGGTCTCTGCTCCCCTCTCTCTTGCTATACACTGACTTTCTCTACTTCTCCAACCCATCTCATAGAGTGTGGCCACCCCACATCCCTCTTTCTCTCCAGTTCCAGCAGGTCTAACTCCACCACAACAGGGTCAAATTAACAAATCACTAACTCATTACATTCAGACTCTTAAGAGAGACTACGAATTCTATGCAGCCTGAATCCTATGTCCACCATAGAACCACTAGCTATAATCAAAACTACTAAGATTTCATTTCGCTCCAGTCAGAATCGCAATTATCAAGGATACAAGCATTAATAAGCGTTGGCGAGGATGTGGGGGAAAAGGCACTCTCATACATTGCTGGTGGGACTGTGATTTGGTGCAACCGCTATGGAAAGCGGTATGGAGATTCCTCAGAAAAGTGGGAATGGAACCACCATT